AAGGTTGCTGTGACAACCTCCCCCCAAAAGGACAGTCCAGACAGGAAGCTATTGCATCCTTAAAAATTGCGATAAAGGTGCTGGAGTGTTGCTCTTGACAGTGGTGGCTTCTGGGTGGGGTGTACGGCTCAGTTATCTTTAAGGAGCTGGCCACTGGGAGTTTGACCATGCTTTTGGGGAGCTTTCACTATATAGTCCAAGTCAGCCTTGAACTGACAGTCTTCCTGCCTCAACCTCCCAAGGGCTGGGACTACAGGCCCGTACCACCACACAGGACGAGAAATGGTGTTTTTATTAAAAACTTACTTTGTTTATTCATTCTATAACAGCTTCCTCTTTAGTCGATCAGAGACTCGTGGCTCTTCGTGTAGTTCATTATTAAAGTGAAATCTAGGAGAGCCAAATGAGAAACAGCTATCCTTTCAACTTTTTAGCAGAAGCCTTGGCAATACGAGACCCGTTCCCCCTCTTCATCTTCAGAAATATTTTCTCTGCATTTTCCCAGGTTGTGTTGTGTGTGCTATTAGTCTTGTTGTCATCAGCTCCCAACTTCTGGGTTTCCAGTCTGATACAAGGGAATGTATATTCCGGGAATTCCTTCCCTGGGAAGATATAAACATATGCGCTGTCCTTATAAGGTCCCACTGACAAGGCGAAGTACCCTGCCACCAGAGTACAACCTCAGAAACCAATGAGTTTAGAGGACTGCCAGAGAACGGGTGAGGGGCTGCTTCCAGGATCACCAGTGACCCCGCCATACTAGAAAGTCCTCGCCCAGCATGGATGCTGGCTTCCTTATAGCCACACAGATGGAGGCCCCTTTATTAGTCTCCCCTAGCTTTTATACCCTAGGTATCCCAAGACCCTTAGGTCCTTTGCAATTAGGAAAGGCTGGGAAGATTGCCTGGAGGCTCAGGGGAGGGTTTGTGACTCACCCAGTTTCTCCTCCTCTGAGGAAACAATTGGTAGCCAATAGGCCCTATCTCAACGGTTGCTTGAAAACAGGCACTGCTGGTCCAGTGGAGATAGTGTCTGTTTTGCTTGGAGGATAGCACACTATGACACTCTTCGGCACCCCTCCCAAGAGCGAGAGTGAGCTGATCTTCCAGTAACCATCCCCTCTACCCCCCCCTCTCCCCACCCCTTCACACTCCCCCTCCCCCCTCGGGCCAAGCCCTAATACCATCACCACCATCAACCCCCTCACTCCCAGCCAAGGCTGGCAGGAGAGGAAGACCTCATCTTGTTCCTTAGCTGGAAAAGTGCTGTGGTGGAGAGCTCACTGACCTACCTGCCTTGTGCCGGACTGGGCACAGGCACAGAGACCGGAAGCAAGGGCATCGTGTTTTGTCTGCCTGGATTCTCAAGCCTTCTCTGTGCGGAGTAAAACTGCATCTCAACCAGGAAAAGGCCTCGGCGCTGGCATTTTCAGGCTGTTCAGCTTTATCTGTGTTACAAACATTATCTTCAGTTGTGGTCTCCTTGAGGGAGTCTCGTTCAGTCATATACCCATTTGTGAGAGGAGTTAATGCAGTTAAAATTTGGTCACATAATTGATAAAGCCACTTAGCTAGGTACTTGGGACACATCATATGTGTTCAAGCTATCGGCGTCCATTAGAGACAGGGAAAGCAGGTATTTCTGGCTATGTCAAAGGAAAAGGATGGGAGCTCCAGCCTGCAGCCAGCTTGGTATTTTGAGGAGCTCAGCCTGGATTCCTTTGCATCACGGTCATTACTGGAACATGTATATGATATATGAATCTATTTCTTTATATATGTTATGTGTGTGTGTATGTGTATGTATATGTATACATGTATATAATGGACCCCCATGACCTGAAGAGCTTACAAAGCAAGTTGCCTGGTGTTCATTTACTAAGCACCACCCACTCTTGAGACTCACACAATTGAAACATCGTCCCCAAAATGCCAAGGCTAGAAGTCCAAGACTGGGTGTAGACAGGGTTGGCTCCTTCTGAGGACTAGGGGGAAAGGTCGGTTCCAGGCTCTCCTACCTTGCAGGGTTGCTGGCCATCTTCGGTGTTCCTCGACTTGTAGAAGCTTCACCCTCGTCTCCATGTGGTGGTCCCCGAGAACTATGTATCTGGGCCCAGCTTCCCTCTGTCTAAGGACGATGTCGTATGTCATGTGGGTCCCTCCCCTGTGTGATGTCACTTACAGAGCTCTACTTCCGAATGAAGTCATGTTCTGAGGTGCACTGACTTACTGCTTTGACACAGGAATGCTGGGGGGACGCAACTCACCTCTAACGTTGTCCTCCACTGTAGACCTCCTGACAGAAGGCTCCTGAGGGGGAAAACCCATGTGCTTGTGTGCTGTTTCTGGAGCCTATGCCATGAAAACACCACAATGTGACAATCACACTCTTGACAACTTTTAGAACGCCGATTTTGTTTTGTTTTTGAGACAAAGTCTTGCTGCATAGCCCTGGCTGGCCTGGTACTCTCTGTGTAGCCAAGGCTGGCCTCTGACTCCCAAATTCTCCCCCCCCCCAGTCTCCCGAGTGTTGGGATTACAGGTGTGCACCACCACCGTAACAGACTCCAATTTTCAGAACACTTAGCATGAGATGCATCCTCTAAGATAGATATCCAAGTACCCGGCACCGAGCTGGGGACTACAAGCACAATGCGGTATAGCTGATTCTTCGTCTTGCGTGGAGAAAACTCTACAACTTTCAAACATGTGTTTAAGAGTGACTCCAGGTGACCTGTATGCTTTACAAAGTCTGAGAAGCACAGGGCCACCTGAAGCGACACGCAACGTCCGGGCTCAAACAAACGACGAACAAAAGAAAACCTCGCATTTAACTGTGTAGCTGAGTTCTAGAAGAAAGAAAGAAAAAAAAAATATCTCAAATGTTAACATTGGGGAAATGAAGCCAGTGTTGGCTGGTCCGGGGCGGCTTTAGAGAGTGTGAGCCGGCATAGACCAGCGGTTTCTCAGCCTTCCTAACGTTGTGACCCTTTAATGTACTTCTTCATGCTGTGGTGACCAACAGCCAGAAAAGCTCTTTTGTTGCTACTTCATAACTGTAATTTCGCTACTATCATGAACCGTAATGTGAATATCTGGTGGTTTTAAGTGTCCACTAAGGGGTCTCAACGCACAGGCTGAGAACCACTGGTGTAGCCCCTTGGCAGTTGATTCAAGCCAGGCGCCTAGGCCAGGTGATAGGCCATTGCACAGCTGAAGCAGAGAGGCTGGGCCAGAGCCCTTTGCATGAAAAAATGGAGCTCTGAAGAGATGCCTTGTCATAGAAAAGGGAGCTAGAAAGATGCCAGAGAGCCACTTCGACCGATTAGACGTTTGGAAGCCGGGGCTCTGCTGTCCACTCATGTCTGCTCTGTGTGGTTCCAGGATCCTGCGGCTTAGGCAGGGTACATATAAGAACAGGGATTTGAGGGGGGTATTAGGTGCTAGGGTTTGTTTTGAAGTACAAGAGAGTTGGAGTTTGATAAGGTCCGTTGTCAGGCAACTTGAGAACTGGCAAGGGTGGGACACTGAACAACTGGAGAAAGGCATCCTGGGAGGTGGGAATGGATGGGGAGGGCCCACAGAGTGAGCAGAGGGTGTGGCTGAACTTGCTGCTTTGAAGGACGGCCAAGCACGGTTCTGTGCGGTTCCCCCGCTGCAGTCTGTGCGGATCAGCTGCCGCTGTAATAAAGTACTTGAGAAGATCGTGTAAGAAAGTGATTGCAGCTTTAGAGTTTCACCCCTTGGTCAGTTGGCCCCATTGCTTTGGGGCCTGTCGTGAGGCAACACATTATGCCAGGAGGGTGAAGAGAAGGGAGCTGCTCACCTCATGGTACCTGGGAAGCAAAAGGAATACGAAGGGGCCAGAATCCCATGATCCTCTCTGAGGACACCATCTCGCCAGTGTCCTACCAACTTTCACTGGGCCCTGCCCTTTTAAGCTTCTACGTCTTCCTGAAGGTCAAGCCTGTAACACACAGGCTTTGGGGAGACAATTATATCCAAATTATAGCAAACTCTAATGAGATCTGCCCCCTCACCAGATAGCCCTCACCACCTGCCCATTTCTGGAACCCAGGGGGAGAGTTGCAAGCTAAAATAGCAAGCTGGGTCTGAGCTGGCACAGCTGGGGCATCAATCTTATGTGGAGGAATATCAGCTCACATGCCAAGGCCAGGACCAGTTTTGAGGGAACCAGAGTTTCATGGTCCTCGGTAATTTTGGGCTCTAATTTGGGGTATGTGTGTATGTGCGTGTGTGTTTGGGAAGGGGTGAGGGTGAGATGGGGCTCTAACCCAGGAGCTAACACATGCTAGGCAAATGCTCTACTGCTGAGCTTCCTTTCCAGCCTGGGAACCTAATTTGAAAACGTCTCCCATGATTCTGACATCTGTGGTAGTTAAGCAGCAACTAACAGCTCCCATTGGTTGAGTATTTATGAGACACAGGACAATTTTTCTGCTTATTCCTCATGGCGGTCCTTCAAGGTAGACATAATTATTATCCCTCTGCTACACAGAAATCCTTAACTCTGAGGGATAGGCAATGGGTGTATCTATATGACAGTTGCTCCCTAATTACACAGCATTAAACCTAGGTCTGTCGGCCGCTACGTCAGTATGTCGATACTGGTTAAATCTGGTGAGCTGGTTATAGATGACTTTTTTTTTTTTTTTAAATCCATTTTTAAAAACTTCCAAGTTTTAAATATAAAATGGAGGGAAATTTAGTAGCCATAAAACAACAACAACAACTCAGTAACACAACGGAAAAACAAGCCATTGGGATGTGTGTGCCGAAGGAGGTATGGGTCAGCAAGGTGATGCCAAGCGAGGCCCCTTGCCCTGGGTGGCCTCATCACACCTGGGGACCTACTTTACTTTTCAGCTTGTTGCTCTTTTTGCCTCAAGCCCATGACATGCTGCTAGAGACGGATGGGTAAGGCTCGGGGAGGCAGCACCCTGATCCTGATAGACCTCATCTCCCCCACCCCCACCACAGGTCAATCCTTTCAGAGACCGCATCTGCAAGGTGTTCTCCCACGACGATGTGTTCTCCTTTGAAGACGTGCTGGGCATGGCGTCTGTGTTCAGTGAACAGGCCTGCCCCAGCCTGAAGATTGAGTATGCCTTTCGCATCTATGGTGGGTACCTTGGTTGGGGAGGTGGGGGGTGCTGATTGGGGAGGAGGAAAGGGCCAAAGAGAACCTGCCACAGTAGCTCATAGATGAGATTTATTAGGTCTTTATGAGTATATATCATGTTTCTTAAGCACTGTGACGTCACAAAGCCGATAGAGAATCTCTGGCCTAGTGGACTGAGGCCCTTCCCTCCGTGTCATCTCTATTAAGTGGCTTTCATTATTGCTGTGTCGGACTTACCTTACAAGAAGCAGGGAGGGAGGATTTATTTGGGCTCACTTTGAAGGCACATAGTCCTTCGTGGCTTAAGGGAGGGAGGATTTATTTGGGCTCACTTTGAAGGCACATAGTCCATCGTGGCAGAGGAAGCATGGCATAGTGGCAGGCAGCCCACAGGAGCTGGACCATGTGGCTGGGATGCCTCGCCTCCTTACACGTTGGTGGAACAGGAATCAGAGGTGATACAGGATGTTGTGGTAACCATAAGCCTCCAGTCCTGCCCCTTAAGAAATGCATCCCCTCCCTGGCTAGGTTGCTCATCCCAAAGGTTCCAGTCTCCCAAAACAGTGCCAGCAGCTGGAGACCAAACGTTCAAACACATGAGCCTGGAAGGGCTATTTCAGGTTTGAATCATAACACCACCCAAGGGTACTGGGGTTGCCGGTGTGTGACTGTTTGATGACTTCTCTCTGGGCAGGCCAGAGAGAAAGAGCAGACACACATGGGTGTGAGAGACTTGGGCTTGTCTGGCAGGAAGAAGATTTAGAGACAGGAGCACTAGAACCAGCTCTGCACACAGTGACTGCGTAGTCTTGAAGAAGTAATTTCATTTGACTGGGAATCAGTTTACCCTTCTCTAGAGGGAAGGGCTTGAGCGAGATCATCTCTGAGGTCTTCGGGATCTGCCTTTCACTTGGCCATGCCTGCTTAGTGCGGTGGGATACTCTCAAAAGCAACCAAAGAGGAAGAATGAAAGAAATCTTGACATGCCTTCCTGTAACAGTCCATGATGGCACACACCCGCAATCCTAACACTCGGGAGGCTGAGGCAGAAGGATCACACATTTGAAGATAAAGTGGGCTGCATAGTGAAACAGTGTCTTGAAAAGCCTTGGGCTGGTGCTATAGCTCAGTGCTAGAATGCTTGCCCAGGATATAC